CATTTTCAGTTTGTATGCGAACCAGAATTACTTGGTCAACTAAAATTTGAGCTGGCGCCGTGTGAGCATTGTCCGTAGAGCCCATTGCTGGGCGGTGGTCTGAGCCGCCACGCGCGATGACTTWAATAATTTGTGTTAGAACACTTGACACTTTTGCGTTGTAAGCAAAAACATCGTGTAGATATATTTAATTTAATTAAATAAACACTTCGCACAATTCGACACACACGAGGGGGACGTACGTGTTGTTCGTTTGGCAGGCAAAACGCAACTGTGACCAACCTTATAATGATTTTTATCCTAAGGGCAAAATCTTATCGTCTTAAATACGTACATATACGTACGTATATTTGTTCTTTTGTTCTTGCAAAACTTAGTGCATTATGGGAAAATGCAAATGTATATAACAAAATATTTGGTGTAGGTTCAAATGCCATGGTTCCACGTGTAGATACAAATAAAAACAAATTTATTTTTATAAATAAATGTACCAAGTTCTTTAATTCTTTAAATTAACATTACGTGAGTACATTAGTTACTCATTATATTATATCATTATATTTTTATTATTATTTAAGAGTATTCAATTATATTTAAATAATAATATATAATATTTATTTATATTTAATATTAGCATATGTTTTACATAAATAAGGTAAGTCATAACTAGGTTTGCCAGGCAAAAGTCAAAATACGAAWTTTTGCTCAARAATTATTGGCAGTTCCCAGTTTACCCTTAACAAAAATATTATATAAATATGTTGTATTTGGATTACATTATAGCTATTTGTTATTTTACATTTTAATCAAGGAATAAAATTAAAATTAAAGTAAATTTTCTATAATAAATATAAATGCTGAAAGAATAGTTTCTTATGTTGAACCAATTATTTTACTTACAAAATAATACAGGGACACCAACTAAAATTAAAATTAATTGATATCTTACATCGTATTTATTTACTATTAATAATAATAATAATACATTTTTATTTGTAGCGTCAAATTCGAGAAAGAAGAAAAACCAGTGATCCCAATCTCCCTTCGAAATATAAAAAGTTAGTATACCCTTATCAAATTATTAATTATTTTAATAATTGTAACTATGTTTTATTTTTAGTGATGTGGAACACGAAATGCAGTTTTCATTTGCACGTTCTGATAGCTCATCAAATTCTAATTTATCAACTAAGTAATAGTTTGTTTTTTATTTAATTGATGAACTTAAACGACTTACTATATTTAATTTTTAACTAGAAGCTTGGACAGTCGTAGCACATCTTTGGAAGGCATTGGACAAGGTGGAGAGATGACTTCYTGTTTAGATAGTGATTCTGATGATGAATTAGATTTACCTGATTGGGCTAGTAATGTTCCAACAGAAATATTGGATCAGTTATCATCTAAAGAGAAAAAACGTCAAGAAGTTATTAATGAACTTTATCATACTGAAAGATCTCATATTCGAGGTAAATCATTGTTTCTAGTTAGTTGAGTATGGATTTGTATTCAATAAATATTTAAATGTATTTRTATACATTTTAGGATTAAAAGTTCTGGAGCATGTTTTTCATCGACCTATGAGAGAACTACAGGTATTACCACAAGATCAACTTCAACTGTTATTTGCAAACCTTGAACAAATGTTTGAATTACACTCTCAGTTTTGTAATGCCATGAAAGCAGTAAGAAAAGATAATCAAGTTGTTCAAAATATTGGTCACGTTTTACTTAATACTGTACGTGTTATTTGTCAATTATAAAATATATTATTTAATTTAAAAGATTCATATGCTGTTTTAACCTATAACATAGGTATCTTAAAAACAGATTCTTTTATACACTAAACCATTTACTTCTCTTTTTTAATTGTTTAGTAATAGTTTTGGCATAAAACTTTTTCTAAATTAATTAATAAATAAGTTAAAATATATTTTCATATTTTTCATGTTACATTAAAATCATATAATTTACAGTTTGATGGAACTGCTGGGGAAGTATTTCAAAAAGCTGCTGCTACATTTTGTGCTCGGCAACAAATAGCATTAGAATCTTTAAAAGAAAAAAGAAAAAAAGATACCAAATTAAATATATTTCTTAATGAAGCTGAAGGTAATCCTGTGTGCAAACGTTTACAGCTGAAAGACATTTTACCTACTGGCATGATCCGGTAATTTTATTTATTATTTAATCATCATAAAATAACGAATGCTAATCTATRTATATAAATAATAAATAATGTATATAATACTAATATATGTTTTTAATTCTAGATTAACTAAATATCCATTATTATTTGAAAGTTTGGTTAAATGTACATCAAATGAAGAAGAATTATTGAATATCAAAAGATCTTTTGAGAGAAGTAAAATTATTTTAAATCATGTAAATCAAGCAGTACGTGAAGCAGAAGATCAACTTCGATTATCCGGTATTCAAAAAAAATTAGATGCTTCTCCATTTGAAAAAGTTGATCATCCTCTTAGTGTTGACTTTAAGGTGAAGAAAATAGTCAATCGTAATCTATTATACAACTTTTTGTTTAAAAATAATTTTGCGTTATTTTAGATACAATATATGCTCATATTATTTATCATTGTTACAGAATTTAGATTTAACAAAACATAAATTAATACATGAAGGGGGTCTGTGGTTAAGGATTGGTGGAACTCGTCAAAAAATGATTGAATTGCATGTATTGCTGTTAGAAGATTTAATTATTTTGTTAAACAAAGTAGATGATAAATATGTTTTAAAATATTATGGCTTTCAAGATCGTACTCCTACTTTAAGTCCAATCATTAAGATGTCAACAGCTTTAGTCAGACACAATGCAGTCGGTTAGTGTCAAAATTTGTTTTTTTGTTTGAAAAATAAATATTTCTATTMACCAATATAAAATTTATTTATTTAGACAAAAAAGCTATGTTCTTAGTTAACACATCACAAGCTGGTGCTCAGATATATGATTTAGTTACAACTTCATCAAATGAAAGAAAAACGTAAGTCATTATAGTTAAACTATTACTATTTATTTTTATAACATATTATTCCTTTATATTAGTTGGTTTCGACATATCTCTGAAGCAACTGAATCCTATAAAGCTCGTGAAGGTAAAATAAAGAAACAAGAACAGACCTCTCATCATGTTATTGATTACGAAGATATAATACAGGGTACTAAAAAAAAGTCGTAAGTAACATTAAGTTGCTTTTTTAATATTTCAATTTTATGTTTTAATATTTATAATTTCAGAGTGACTGATAATGGTTCAGAACCTCCTAATAATAACAATAATAATAATTTAAATAGTTCCCAGTTATCCACTTCATTAGACTCAAGTAATTGTGATACATCTAAACATGGTAATGAAAAATAAATTAGTTTGTATTTATAAGATTTTTTTTCTTACATAATTATTTGGTGAATTAGGTATTGAAAACTCTTCAAACAGTGAAGCATTGACAATCGCTAACAGCACTCCTGTGTTGTCTAAAACTCAAAAAAGTCCACTAATTGAGCCATCTGAAGTATTAGTGTCACAAAGTTCTGTACTCAAAGCCGAACCAGTTATCACACACCTTGGTATGTAATATTGATTAGTCAATGGTACTTGTTAATTCAATAATGTTAGTTATAATTTTGTTATCTATTATAGAAAAATTACGAAGAAATAATAAAGTGATTGAAGAAGCATTAAATGAACGTTTACAATTAGTTGCTGATATACTGAAAGTGCCTTTATCAACCCCTAATAAGACGTCTGATGGTCAGGATAAAAACATTTCAGATGAACCAAACGAAATTTTGCTTTCAGCAGTTTCTCAAGGTATATTGAATGATTTATTTTCAATATTTTTGCAATAAATTTTATTTTAAACATACATTTTAGGAAATGAAATAATCACAGTATTAAATGAATCACTGAGTATGACTGATGTCGATGCTATTGCCGCAAGCTTGGGAACATCTAATTTAACGTCAAATTGTAGCTTATATAAAGCTTATGCTACACAATTGTCTCGGATCACAAAAGTAAAACCAATTGTAGCTTCTTTTAATTCTCAAATTACAGAACTTTTGGTAAGGAATCATTTTTATTTATATGTTTGTAACGTACAATTATATCCACTGTAAATTCTTGATTATTAAATATTAAAGAATAACCATATTCAGATAGTTATTGCTGAAGGTGGTGTTTAAATAACTTATGAACTAATTATTTCTATCTATTTAGATATCAACTACGAAACATGGTAAACTAGAAGAAGACTTACGTAAAGAACTTCAGACATATCGAGAAAGACTACATGCTTTTCAAGAAAAATCAATAGGATCTACTAATACTGAAAAAAATAGTAATTATAAATTTTAAAATAATCATTTCAACATTTCACAATCTAATAAATATTGTTTTATTCTATAGAAACTGAGAGTTCTGTCGAAAATGCTTGCTCTGTCAACAGTCCTGAGAAAAATGGATCATCATTAGAGGTGAGATAAATCAAATGTTATATTTTCTTCATCGATTAATGACATGTTCTTATTAAATTTTTTTTTTTGTTATTTTAAAATGTATTTCATAGTATTTTTACTTAATTTAAAGATTTGCTGTTCACAGGTATGAGTGTATTTACTATTAAACATCAATGCATAACATACACACATTACCAATATATAATAGTATGTCATATCATGCCAATTCGTTTTCACTGTGTCATTTTAATAGTCTACCGCTTATAAATTGTATCAATATCTTTTAAATCTTTATATTGAAAGTATATATTTATTTATTTATATTTTATTATTTTATTTAAATGATAATTTTTTATGAAGGTAACTAACAAATGATCATTGTTTTATTTTTTTAAATCTTATTTTACGTACTGTTTTATTTAATTTTTTTAAGACTGTGTAAAAATACCTATACGATTATTTTAATAAAGATAACTTTACAACTTAACTTACGATACCTTAATATCTTAAAGATATTGCTATTATTTTTATTATTTATTTATTATGATTTTTTTTTTTTTATTGCTGTTTTAAATTCAATATAAGTGTTAATACCTTTACTTATATGTTTTAATTACTACTTAATTTAATTGTATGTTTTTTTTTTAGTCTTACATATTAAGTGTTACTTGTTACCATATAACAAGGTTTGCGTAATTTGTTAATATGTTAAATTAATTTAAAAACAAATTAAATTGTAAGCTTTATTATTTGCTAAGCCAATATGAGACTAGCTTCAAATACAATTTTACACCTATTCAATGTTTAAACATGAAAAACTTTATTTTTTAAATATATAAATTAATTTAATAGCACAGTAACATTTTTTTATGCATTATATTTCTCTGGGGCATTGCGTTAATATTAATGATCAATACAATATTAGAACAAAAAATGTATTGATTTAGTAATAGTGTCTATAGAAAAAAATGTATTTCAATATAATTTTTATTGTAATACAATTATAACTTTATGCAGTTGTATAGCTAGCATTCTTTTTAAAGGGGTTTCTAATATAATATATATTTACTATTTTACTATACCTATATATATCAAAATATAATTAAGGTTATGAAAAAAAAGTGATCCAATAAATACATCTTACAATCAATATTTATTTCTATTTAAATATGGGGAAAATAATAATAATTTTTATATTTTTATATAACACATGTTAAAATGGGTATCTTATTACTCAAGAGGTTGCCATACCTGCATGCACACTCCGTCTTACAAKTGCATAGCATAACAAATTTTCACTCATCAAATCATGTTTAGCTCTATTCGTTCAAAAATCTTTTATAAAATTTAAAGGTAAGAATATTATGTGTTATCTATATTAGATTTTACAATACTTCAATTTTTTTTAGCGTCTTGTGTATATTATAATTTAGTGTTAATTAAAAATACTCATAAAACACTTAAAAACTAAACTATTGTAGAAACCCAACGTTTGAACACGGATAATATTCTTACCTTAAAATTTTTAAGAGGTAAATTCACTTTAATTTTTAAAGTAACGGAGGTAAACATGATTTACTGAGTGTAAATTTGCTGTGTTACGCACTTGTATGATGTAGACATACGGTGTGGCGTCCTCTTAAACACTAACCCTCCCTCCACTGTAAGCACAACTGATGTAATTTGTATGTCGATCAAATTTGATTGCAATCATCTTATGATAATATATGATCATTTAATGTATACTTGTTAATTGTATCATATTGATGAAATTGTGTTGCTAATTATTTTAATATCACAACGCTGAAGATGCCCTATGAATATAAATCTATCACAAATTATTCATGCTATATGCAAAGAGTAATTTATTTGTATAATTTTTTAGTAGGTACCTTGTTATAAACTCTAGAAATTAATTATACGAAAAACTTAATTATTTCTTCTATAATTATTAAAAGTGTTTCTTATWTTATTTTAATTTATTATAATTGAATAAAGGTGAAGGTGTGCTTTTTAAAACTATCTGATTAAAATATATTTTAAAAGTTTTTTAAATTTCTCCTCTTAGAAGGAAAAATAACCAAAATATGTCTTGCACTATGGCTATACATGTCTTAAATAATAACTATTATGTATGAATTAGATTTAAACGCTTATGACTGAAAAGATTCTCAACAGCTTTGCTGGAATTCAAAAAGAAGAAATTTTTAGAGTGTGTTGTATGTGAAAGGACAAGATAAATATGTGATAGAAAATGGAAAAGTAATTAAAAAGGCTGTTGAATGAAGAATTTTTAAAGGGTGAAKTAAAGCGAGAAGTACAGAWTAGTCCAATCCATGGCCCTTTGTTATTTTTTTGCCCCTCCCTCCTTTGAAGATAATATGTACCTAGTAAATATATTTAAAAAAACCACAAGATGGTGAAACTCAGTTATATCRCAGACTAATATTAATAATAAAACAATATATTATTATATTAATTTAATATTATTCAGTAATGCCATTTGTTGTGAATAAAACAAAATATAAACTCTACCAGTATTTATATAAATTTGTATATTAGCCCACCAACTACAAAAGGTTGCTCCACTCCAGTGTTAACATCCAGGTATACTTCTGGATATTTATAATACTTCTCTAATTTCTTTCGCCCCTCCTGACAAATACAACTTTCTGACTTTCAACAAAATTTACCTATTTATTAAATGCACAATACTAATTTAAAAATAAATAATTTATATTTTCAATATTTATAATTTCTGAATTGTAATAAATTATAATAATACAATTTATAATATGTGACGACCTTAGATTAACCTTAGATTGATTTAAGAATTAAAAAATAATTCTTTTGTTTTTAATTTGTTTTATAGTTTTATATAAATTTGAAATGTCTAAATTATAAATTGTAATAAGAATAACACCTATTAATAGATATAATTCATAATACTAAAATGACGTATCACCATTCACCAATGAAAAAAAAGTAAGCCCCCCCAGAAAAATTGTCTGGATTCAACACTGGTCCACTCACTTGGTAATTTTATAAAGGGTGAGAGTGAATATTGTACGTGACAAAAGTAAGTTTTTAATATGACCTCAAAATTAGATGTTTAGCATTGAGTAGGTACCTAATTCTCTTTTATCATGGGTAATGTACGAGATCACAAATGCTAAACAGTAAACAGCGTCAGCAGTGACGTGTTACGAGATATATTCCTCACCCCATTGAAAATTCGTGTGCACACCCAAAGGTATAGATAATATACCTACTAAATTTCTTACTGCTCTCATCGATAATGGGGAGATTTKAAGCCGGTATCCGCCATTTATTAAAAGGGCAACTAAATGTTGATAACAAAGTATGTACATATAATATAGGTATACATATAAATATTTATTCACATATTATYTTATGTASCTATTCATAACTATTTGTTATAACATATATAATATAATATGATCTATATTTTATATTTTTGTCCAAAAACATTTTAGATACTTACGAAAAAAATTACACTTTGTCTCACATCAAGTAAACAACCAAATCACATCAAGAAGCTGGCACTATGAATTTTAAAGTGCCCATTTAAAAATGATATTTATTGAAAAAGTAGGTACCTATTTTATATTATTCGTAATATAATAGTGTTGGACGTRTTTGTGTCCTTTTTAAAGATGGTAGCCTGATAAATCCCCGACTTTACTTAATTATCACAGTTAGCAATTTAGTTTATAATAGTTTATTATCTATATCTGTGAACACTCAACACACCACTGGTGTCGAATGGCAAATGCCATTGCCAGTTGCCATGATTTGCATAATTGCAAACATATTAAGTGAAGGTAAATATATGATATAAATGGATATGTAATAGGTAAGTTGAATTAACTTTTTTTTTAAATATTACATTTATTATAYGACTATAATAGTACCTATATTATATTWAGTTCATATATTAAAATATTATTGTTATTCACTTTTGAGTTAATACCAACTTACAACAATCTAGATGAAATTGTRGTAAAATTGGCAAYAACATAAAATTAATCTAAATACTGAAGGAGCCGTTTATTAGGTAAATACACGGACRATAATTGATACAATTTCGTTATTTAAACAAATTGTCACGGGGCGGACCGGCCATATAATAGAGCATTGAAAATAAACCAAATTATTAAAACATCACACCAGACACCAGTTATTTAAAACAATTAAGCTAAGGTCAGTTGACATAAATTATGTACCTACCAGCTATCCCGAAATAACCAATGTAGATACCTAAATCTTATCCTTGCTGTCGGTACGTTTATTTTTTCTGTACTTACCATAGGCTAAGCCCCCTCCCGTCATAATTCTTAGTCCCGAACTTCCCAGCAGTAGTAAAATTTTTAAACTAAATAGTAAAAATAGTTTTATTTTTTTTTATTAATATCTTTTAATTTTATTGGTTATTAAACTATATATCATTGTATGTATTGAGTATAATGACTAATGACTASGGCTCAGAAGTTGTAGGAGTTGYATATTTTTCTGTATACTATCGATTTATAGCAGACCAAGCTAGAAATCCAATGAGAACTTTAAATACGAAAATTAGAAATGCATTTTTTGTCAATTTTAGAAAAAAGTGCATATTTTTCAATTTTCATATGCTTTTTATRCATATTTCTATATTTTCATCGGATTTTTTTAATATTTTAATAGAATATTTAGCCCAGTAACTTAATCACTGGCAGGGCCATATTTAGGGGGAGCTACAGGGTACTGTTGCACCGGGCGGCTGAGTAGGAGAGGGCGGCTAATTTTTTTATAACTTAAATTTGTATTTTGTATAATGATTAATGAGGCGTATTTTTTTTGTTGCCCCTTGATGTCAAATTCTTAAATATGGCCCTGATCATTGGTAGTTGAAACATGAACTAAGCMATGATTCTATGGGCTCTAAAGATTTGGGAGTTATGTATAAAAATCCTTAAGCTATCATAGTTTCACATATATCTTAAGAAAATTTAACTTAAAATAATACTTAATAATATGTTCATATTTTAATGTTTCCACAATACCACCTTATTTATTATTTGTTTTATATTACAATTATAATCAATTAATGTAATGTGTTTGTGGGGGGGGCAGTGCCCCTACTTAATTAACCTATTATTAAAATTCTAGGGCTGAAGCCCCCCTAACTTTAGGGTCTAGTCACGCCCATGGTACTTACGCAAGCAAACAAATACATTGATAGATTCGTATTTTAAATAATATGGTAAAATATAATATATTACCTATATACATATCCACATACTTTTTTAAATTGTTCATACATTGTATATTTTTTTAAATACAATATATTATACTTTATACTTATGTAATATGTATCAAATAAGATATATATTTTTTTTTTCATAGTAAAAATCAAACCAATCGCTTTTTAGAAACAATTGATTAATTGACACATATCAACTTGGCCCCCTAAGTGTCCTAATAAGCGGCTTTTACTGTATTTTGAAAATGTCATTATGTATCGATATATGGACAATGTAGATACATAATACAACCCATATACCTATTTAGTATTTACCTACGCATGAATTATTGAACTATGATATTGCAAATAAATTTGGGCCCTAATTTTATAGGTATTACWTTTGAGTATATTTTCTAATGAGTTGAATATAAATCCTAACTTTTTATTTTTACAAATGGTAGGTAGGTACTTACCTAAAATATTGGTTACATGTTACCTACATGGCTTTTACTGTTATACTGTAGGTAAGTCTGCAAATATCAGTTATACAGTTATATGTGTTAGTTKTTTACTATAAATTAGTTTAAAACACGTGCATGTGCATTGTACACTAATTTAATGCAGTTTAATAACTGAAAAAAAACAAAGTGTACGTTTTGTTGGAATAGGTACCCACCGTAGCGAGGACTATAATAAATTTCTCGTATCCTCTTGGATAAATATCCTTTTATTTTTTATAGAAATGCTCGCACCACATACCCTACCTAGCACGTTAAAAGGTTCTTTCTTACAAAGTAAAAATAATATACACATAGATTGTAACACAACATTTGGTAGTAATAAATTAAACTATTTATAAACTAATATTTGATAAACATATAGATGGCTGGGTGGYACGACTCATTTTATTTGTCTTGATTAAATTAATAGAATAGGTACCTATAATAAGTATATGATACATAATATATATTAATAATTATTATGTTTTTTTCCCCGGGCCCATTTACTCACTGACACCCCCGGGGTTGAGCTTTGTGAGAGCCCTGCGTAAGTTTTAAATCTCCATAATAATATTATTTTAGAATTAATTATGTACAATACAAAATAACTATTATCATTATTCTTCGATAAAATATCGTAATTTTCCAAAATTTAACTATATTAAAAAAAAAAAAATTATATACCTATAGGTATGCTATTATGTTATATATATTAAGTATAATATTAATTATAGTTTTTTGTTTTCAGTATGTATAAATTACTATTATATGAGAAACTTTGTAATATAYTGTATCTTAATATTTATATAATTTATAATAGATACGTACCTGTATATTATTATTTATAAATCTGCTGCAGCAGCACAGCCCTTGTACAACTCGTGAGATGGCGGCGGCGAATTATGCGCGGGAGAAACCTGACGGCGGCGCGACAAAACTCCCAAGTTTGTGTGTTTCGTTGCGGTCGTTCCCTCCGCCCACACGGGCGGCGGCGTCAGGTTTACGACTTTCCGCCGCCCGCCGCTGCCGTTGGTCAGCACCAACGATAGTTCAGTGTGCGTGAGTACACCCCCGTGGACAACATAGGTTTGAGTGTGTTGTATCATTACTCGTGTGCGCTAGTGAGCTCACTAGTCGTGTGAACGAGTCCCAAAATCGTATTATTAATATTCGCGAGCTCGAGCCGTAAACCAATCACTATACGGGTTGCTGGTATGACGAACGTTGTAACTACTACCGCAACCGCGGTCGTTGTGAGATGAACGCCACCGGATGCCTGACGGCCCTGGGCGATGGCGGCGAGGCATTCGTCGTGATCTCGTCCGACGGCGACGACGACTACGGTGGATGCAGTCGCCGCGGACGCAATGGCCGCCGGCCCACAGAACCACGGACCACGTCTCCGCGGTGCCCGACCGGCCGGCCACCGACGCCGCCTCCACCCGTTCTTCCGATGGCCACTGCCGAAACGTACAAATTTAGACCACGCCGCAAAGACCGCGGTGCGTTCGTCGTGCTACCCGAACCACCAGTGGCGTCTACCACGGCCACATCGAACACAGCCGATGCCACAGCTCGGTCGCAAACTGTTGGCGGTACAGGTGTCAGCGGCCGCGTCAGCCCATTCCGTGGCTATGGTTTCAAAACGCCCGAGAATGGACGGTCGCGCGCGTCCAGTCCATCGACGTCCGGACGGCTAAGGCGTCAGTCGTCCGAGCCTCGAATCGTTGACAATAGTCGTGGGCCGTCAACCAACAAAACTGAGAAAAAACGGCTGTCGGCGTCCACCAAAGACTTGTCGATGGCCGGAAAATGGACGTCCGGTTCGTCTACTAAACAACCGTCGGCTGCGAGTGGTGCTACTGGTGGCCAGAAAACCTCGGTGGTTGGAAAGCCACCGACCATTCCGATGGCCAGCAGCGCGGCAGCTGTCAAATCTTCGCCGCGTAAGAAGTTGCCACCGACCCCACGCAAATCGGTGCCTCCCAAGTCACCGCTGCCCCTTAAGTCACCCAAAACGCCGAGACGGCCGAAACCGTCGACCGACGCAGTGGCAGGCCCCAAACCTACTGTCTCCGCAAAACCGAMCGTCAGCCGTCCACCGGTCAGATCGTCACCACGTTTACCCAAGAAACAGTCGACGGACGCGGCCGTAGGGTCGTCCAAGACGGAAGCTCCGCCGAAAGACGCCGCCCGTCCACCGCCCGACAACGGTGTGAAGACAGTTGGAGCAACAGTCACGGTGACKGCCACAACAACGACCGCGACTACGTCGACGGAATCGGCGTCAGCAGCATTCGATTCATTGCCATCGACCACAGCACCAACGTTACTCACGTCCACTACGACGACGGTACAATCCGTTATTCCAATCACGGCGTCTACCTCGGCCACGGCCATAGCGACTACGCACGCAACCAACGCTGTCGCTTTACCCGTCGTCGATGGCGGACCGATTGTCACGGCTGTGCCTCCTCCGGCGGCTATTGCCGCAAACACCCTAGCCACTTTGTCCGTCATAGATCCATCGACCACTACTCTGAAACCGCCCCAAAGCGCGATGAGATCTCGCGATCCACCGGCCACCAACACTTCGTCAAAGCCAGCGACCACCGTTGTCGTAGTGGACGGTGGTCCAACGACAAAGGAAGCGACGACCACGCGACAGTCTGTCGCCGTCACGATGACGACCACGCCGCCACTGTCATACGAGTTACAAGAGATCGTTGTGGAACCGGAAATCGAAAACCAAAGCGGACGAACAGCCGTYCGCTTGTCTGTTAATACTGATGGCAACAAAACGTCGTCCACGGCTAGCAGCAGCAACGGTCACAAGACTGTCGCATGGGCGAGGTAAACAATAAATCTATATATACGTACAGCCAAACTTTATGCCTACATATCGCACTCATCATCGTATTCGCGATGATATTATACAATAATATTGGTAATTGGTGTTATGTACGTCCGCCATGTGTCTCATGCCCATCTCTTAGTCTACGTCTGTCTGTAGTCTGACGCTTTGGTTATATTCGCATAATATTCATATTAACTGTAATTGAATCGTTTGAAAATCTAACGCGAGTTCTCGACTAGAATCATCTGATTTTTCTGGGCTCCTGGCTGATCTGTGGTTATTATTTCAGCTTCATAAATATTAAATTTCAAATTCCAGCCGGAAGTATTTATTATTTGAAACAGCCCCGTAGACATTTTTTCCTGTAGTCGAGGTTGTATTTATACATTTTACAGATAATAGATTAACTCCGAATTGAAAACACCATAATAATTGGGAATGCTGGATATGTTTTCTTGGGGACCTCTTTTTAGCACATCAAACACTGCTTTGATTGCAGTAGGCACCTTTTATGGCAATGCTTATTTTGGCTTCAAGAGTATTTTTTACCTTAGAAATCAAATGAGTCAATAAGGTTTACAAAAATCCCAGGATAAATCACATTATATATTTATATACTACATTGTAATAAAAAAATTTTAATTTGCCTATATGTACCTATACTTTTAAATATTAATTGTTATGTTATTTATTTATGTATATTTCATATKTTTGTTATGTCATTCATAAAGGTAATAAAAACAGTACATACAATTACGATAAAAAAATAAACAAAAATGTTTTTAACAATTTTTATACTTTTCTATGTGATGAAACACGAGGGATTGTGTAATATTAATAGTTAATATATGATTTGCAATAAAATTGGTAGCATTAGAAAATATGCCCTTAAAAATTCACATAAACACATAACGATTCCACTAAATGATTTTGTTTTTGTATGTATTTGTAAAAGTATAAGAATTATGTATAAATCTGGACCAGTTTGTTTGAGTCCAACAGGCAAATTAGTCAACCACCTCGTGAATCCAATAAACGGCACCCAATGTTTATAGGTACCTATATTTTATGGGATATCCTGAGTACATCTCGTTTTTAATTTTACCCATTTATGGATCGAGTGCATCCAAAATGACTGAAAGTCTTATCGACAAATTATATTTCCTGAGTGCATCCTTGATACACAGTTATTTAGGTTAGGTATCCATTGCAAAATGCCAAAATTGAAGTACTAAATGCAAGAAAATTCGTCGACGACAGTATAAATAAATTTCAAAAAAATATAATATCAAAATGAGATTTTGTCAAAAGAATGGCATTCAAACACTAACTAAATTTTGATTATTTTTAAATACAAAAAGTAGAATGCTCACCCAAAGTTAAGAAGGTAAGCCAAAATAATAAAAAATAACATAAATAAGAATCACTAAATATTTTTGGAGTTTAAGCCAGTCCAGTTCACTTCGCGGATCTTATGATGCACATTGGAAACCTTACTCTAAAGTTTAAAATCTAAATGTACTGGGATGCACTTGGGCTAATTAAAATGTATTATCTTTTCTCTTGAAACACACTCTAGTGATTCTGGACGCATTTGAAACATAAATAAAAGCCAATTCGGAACGTATATCGAAAAAATCCCACTTTCTATACAAATTATGTGTTCCTTTAAAACTACATACTAATATATAAATGTGTTGTTTGCGTGAGTAAAACAATACCCATAGGATAAACCTTAACGATTCTAAATACAATATACATATACTCCATGTAAGTACATTAACATTGTACTGTGATTATAATCCTTTTACTTTTGTGCATATCGTTACAAGATTATACAGGCTTTTTTATATTCCATGTACTTTTATGACGACTGCACTGTTGAACTTTTTTAAGAGTTATTTTTCACAAAATTACTCCGAGTGTTCCTGCGGTGTCTTTTTTTTCGTTTCTGACCATCAGGCCACGAAGGGTGCACTTGTATTTTAATTGTCCCAATTCTTCGGTGAGATATTTTTATATAATTAGGTTAATATTAATATTTTTTTAGTTTTTAACGAGCGAAGTCGAGTCATTCAGTTAGTATTATAGGTAATATTGTAGGCACTCCAATATATAACAGTTATAATGTCTCTATACTCTTTTCGATGGTGGCGGTCGCAGAGCGGCTGGAATGGTAGGACTCGGGAGTCGGGGTGTCGAAAAAGAAAGAAAAAACTGTTTGCTCGCACGTTCGATATATATAATGGTGTGGCAGTGTCCGCGCGACGGTCTTACATTGTACCGAGTCACGCCACCAACGCWTGTATATTATATAGGTACACATACACAACATAAGTAATTGGGTCACTCCACCACAGCCGAGGGAAACGGTATGTGTATATACTTAGGCGACTACTGGCGGGTATCTCGTGCTTAAGGCCGCGCGAACATGCGATGCAGTTTCTTTCCGTGCTGGCGTGACCGCAAGGTACAAGTACCCCCCCCC